GGAAAGTCTGAGCTAATTCTTTAAAAATAACTGTAATTTTGAACTGGGAAAAGAATACTGGCACCATGTTTTTCCATGAGAAAGATGTTGTCAAACAGAATAGATGCATTAAGCTAGTACTGTTGTTGTTGTTTAGTCATTTAGTCGTGTCCAACTCTTCGTGACTCCATGGACCAGAGTACGCCAGGCACTCCTATCTTCCACTGCCTCCCACAGTTTGGTCAGACTCATGTTTGTAGCTTCAAGAACGCTGTCTAACCATCTTGTCCTCTGTCGTCCCCTTCTTCTTGTGCCCTCAATCTTTCCCAATATCAGGGTCTTTTCCAGGGAGTCTTCTCTTCTCATGAGGTGGCCAAAGTATTAGAGCCTCAGCTTCAGGATCTGTCCTTCCAGTGAGCACTCAGGGCTGATTTCCTTAAGAATGGATACGTTTGATCTTCTTGCAGTCCATGGGACTCTCAAGAGTCTCCTCCAGCACCACAGTTCAAAAGCATCAATTCTTCGGCGATCAGCCTTCTTTACGGTCCAGCTCTCACTTCCATACATCACTACTGGGAAAACCATGGCTTTTACTATACGGACCTTTCTTGGCAAGGTGATGTCTCTGCTTTTTAAGATGTTGTCTAGGTTTGCCATCACCTTTCTCCCAAGGAGCAGGCGTCTTTTAATTTTGTGACTGCTGTCACCATCTGCAGTGATCATGGAGCCCAAGAAAGTAAAATCTCTCACTGCCTCCATTTCTTCCCCTTCTATTTGCCAGGAGGTGATGGGCCCAATGGCCATGATCTTCATTTTTTTGATGTTGAGCTTCAGACCATATTTTGCGCTCTCCTCTTTCACCCTCATTAAAAGGTTCTTTAATTCCTCCTCACTTTCTGCCATCAAGGTTGTGTCATCTGCATATCTGAGGTTGTTGATATTTCTTCCGGCAATCTTAATTCCGGCTTGGGATTCATCCAGCCCAGCCTTTCGCATGATGAATTCTGCATATAAGTTTTGTCATACTCCTTTCCCAATTTTGAACCAATCAGTTGTTCCATATCCAGTTCTAACTGTAGCTTCTTGTCCCACATAGAGATTTCTCAGGAGACAGATGAGGTGATCAGGCACTCCCATTTCTTTAAGAACTTGCCATAGTTTGCTGTGGTCGACACAGTCAAAGGCTTTTGCATAGTCAATGAAGCAGAAGTAGATGTCTTTCTGGAGCTCTCTAGCTTTCTCCATAATCCAGCGCATGTTTGCAATTTGGTCTCTGGTTCCTCTGCCCCTTCTAAATCCAGCTTGCACTTCTGGGAGTTCTCGGTCCACATACTGCTTAAGCCTGCCTTGTAGAATTTTAAGCATAACCTTGCTAGCTTGTGAAATGAGTGCAATTGTGCGGTAGTTGGAGCATTCTTTGGCACTGCCCTTCTTTGGGATTGGGATGTAGACTGATCTTCTCCAATCCTCTGGCCACTGCTGAGTTTCCCAAATTTGCTGGCATATTGAGTGTAGCACTTTAACAGCATCATCTTTTAAAAATTTAAATAGTTCAGCTGGAATACCATCACTTCCACTACTCAAGTACTACTCAAGCTTAATGCATTGTTTCAGAACAGGATGCGTTAAAAGAAAATTATGCAATTTCCATTTTAATTAAATTATTACTCTGTCTCTAAAAAACCCCGTCTTAAGACAACTCCTTCTCTCAGAGGCATTAGCAGCTGCTGATTGTTTTTTCTTTACTGCCACCACAGAACATGTAATCTGAAATAACGCATCCTCCCATATAAACCAGGAAACAACTTTAGGAAATAAAGTCTATCACTGAGGCTAAAGAAGAGATATTGCTCAAGTTAAGGAAGTAAAGATAATTGAGGCCAGGTGGTGTCACAGGAAAGGTCCCAGGAATTGGAAGAGAAAACAGAAGGACTGAGGAGCCAAATAAATGTCCTAAACATCCAGAATCATTAACATTTGTACGTGTGTGTGTGTGTGTGTGTGTGAGAGAGAGAGAGAGAGAGAGAGGGAGAGAAAGAGAAAATCACAAACAGTTAGTACCATAATCTGATTACTTGATGATCCTGCTGAGCGACTGGAGCTCAGTTTCCCCAAGGGATACAACGCATTTGAGAAACTGGGGCATGAACATATTTCATAACATGAATGCTTCTAAATGCAGACTGCTTTCATGCGTAATTGATAACATCTGGGGACTGCTTGCAACGTTTTCCATCTTTTTAAAACGTAACATATTTCTGAATGGTCTCCATTCAATGGTTTATATTTAATGGTGACAACTCTCTTCTAGGAACAGATATCAGGCATCACCAGTCACCACACACCTTTTCCTTACTACTCTTTCAGGTATAATCTTGTCCCAGGAACTTATACTGATATGGCTTTGTTCATAAAGTAGCACAAGATTTCCTACATAGATAGTTTGAGGATGAAAGCCTCTAAATCCTACTTTATGAGGTGCATCCAGATATAATTTGCCACGTGAAACAGAGCAATATCATAATATAAAGTGTGCTGTCCTACTTCTGATAACGTACAGGAAACATTTCCCCTACAGAATATATTTCACAGTAGTTTGTATCACAGTGAGTATTGTGTAATTTGAAAAAGGAATTCCTCATTTTCCCCCCCCCCAAAGTAGTTATATTAGCTTAAAAAGATTACACATAGGGTATACTGTACTTCCTATGATCAAGGGCCTCCATAACATTCTGAATTATAAAGTTAGAAGGTTCTAGAATCTCATCAGTGTTTTTTTCAGTGCTCATTGATTTACTGGCCTTGCTGACGGGTTTTTTCACCTACACTGTACTGATTTGATGGCATATGAGGAGGGTATCAGGATGGCAAAGGCTGATCTAATGTCTAGCATATTCCTGGATTACTCAGCTATATGGCTGCCCTCACAGGAGATGATACAGTGGTGCCTCGCAAGATGAAAAGAATCCGTTCCGCGATTCTCTTCGTCTAGCGGTTTTTTCGTCTTGCGAAGCAACCCCATTAGCGGCTTAGCGGCTTAGCGCTATTAGCGGTTTAGGTGGGCTATTAAAGGCTTAGTGGCTGAGCTGCTAAAAGGCTATTAGCAGCTTAGCGGCTTAGAAAAGGGGGGGGAAGCGGAAAAAAAATGGCAAGACTCGCAAGACATTTTCGTCTTGCGAAGCAAGCCCATAGGGAAATTCGTCTTGCGAAGCAACTCAAAAACGGAAAACCCTTTCGTCTAGCGGGTTTTCCGTCTTGCGAGGCATTCGTCTTGCGGGGCACCACTGTACAGAATCAATCTGCAGCATTGGCACAGCATGCGTGCGCATTCTGAAGCCAAACACCAGGCTTCTCCATTCCCCAGTAGCTGCAAAGGCTGTTCTCCATGGCAGCCACTTTGGGCAAACAGCAGCAGGATTCTGTGCCTTGAATTCACTAGCCAATATTGAACCAGGCATGTCTTCTTGTGCCTCAGTGTTCTTCAGCTATGAAATGGGATCAATGTTCTCTGAATGGAATAAATGCAATATCATACCTATATGCATATTATATATTTGACATTCTGTGTAGCCTTTGTCACCTGGAGGGACTCGTGCTTAGTTTCATTTCCAGATTCCTGCTTGTGCTGTATTTGAGTATGGATTACGTTTATTGATTTTATTAATGATAGCAAACCTTTTATAAGCATAAGCAGCGGAGTTCCAGCAATAAATAATTGCCATTTAATAATGATAAAAGCTTGGCAAAAATTTTTTAACAGTTCTTTTGCCTATTTTTCACCTCTCCCATGAAAACATCCCTACTATGGATAAATAACTGTGACTATTACTATTCCAAAACTGCAATCCTTAAATACAAAAACTGCGACATTAGAAAAAAAGAATTTGGACTGCTCTTTCAACTTGCTTTGGTTTTTGCTACCACATTTTCAAGCATATGTCTTTGTTCATGGAGGCTAGAAACTTATTTTAAAACAGATGCAGAGATCCTCAGAATCCAAATGGAGCCTTTAGGTGAAGGGTTGACCAATAGGCTGGCTAAGTTTGGCCTATCCGTTTTATAATTTCCCATACCAGCATTCATTATTTTACTTGCTGTAAAATCTAAGCTGCTGTGAAAAAGCTCCTGGTCCTATTTATCAGTTGATGCCTGCTCAATTTCACTACTCTCAAGTTTAAAAACAATATTCTTTGAACTAATTTCCAGAACACTTCATTCATTTCAGCTTTTTGTTTTGTTTGTTTTTGTCTCTACCTCATACAAATGCACAAGAAGACACTTAATAAAGTTGATTGCAAATCCCTGAGGAGTGGGGGTGGGAAATAGAACAATGCTTTGCCTAGAAACAAACAAAGAATATATGCATCTTTTCAGTTCACTGGAGGTGGAAATCCTGTTGTGGACATGTATATATTACAGCTGAACTCAGTCCCACTCCATTAAAATTAAGTAGAAAGAAAATGAGTCAGAGGAAGGATGCCCATATGCTAGCTTGTATGACGTTAAGAAAGGTTTATTAAATTCTAACTTTTATAGTTTAATGAGGCAGTCTTCCATATGGATGAGGACCAAGAAAAGAAAAGATGAAACAAGTTCACTATCAATTTCCTCATTGCCCTATGCTCTTTCTCTGCCTTTTTAAAAAAATATCTCATTCAGCTGAGAATCATCTTAAATTTGGGCTTCAATTTTCTAATACATGCCAAGAATTTAAGGCACCAAATTTCCTCCTGAGTTATCATAGTCATCCTCTTCTTCCAATTAATTTGTTTTCATTATAGACATCATTAGAGATCTTTGTAAGCTGACAATAAAAAAAAAGTGATGGAGGAAGAACAAAAGAGGAGATAGATAGAGAAACGTAAGTGGAGTGGGATGAATATGATAAAGTGCAGCTGCACGCACAATTTTTCCTTTTTCACCTTGTTTCGTCTTCACATGCAAGTACATCTGTCTGTGCTTATCAAAGCCAGGCTCTAACATAAGCTTTAAAAATGTTCATAGTTAGGAACAGTGCTTACTCTTGGGCCGACGTCTCCTTGATCCCCCTGCAAAACAGAAAAGTCATCATAATTCTTCTTTCCCCCATTTCATTTATTTGTTGTTTAAGAGTTGCTGTGATGGGAGAATTCATTTCTTCCACATACAATAGAAAAGGGTGACCAATTGAAGGAAGTTTACAAATTAACATTTGACCATGTGATGGACGTCCACACATTTCATGCATGCAAAGGCCTCAATCTTTCCATTTAAAGGACTGCTGATCTATATGCAAAAAATTAGTTAGGGCACATGCAAGGAATTCCTGTGGGATTGTGGTATCAAGACAAGGCATGGATAAAATATCTGTGGAATTTTTTAAAAATTTGATTTTTTATTTCAGGAAACAAAACACATCCATACAAGGAAAACAGAGCTTAGTAGTTGTATAGAAAAGAAAGAAAAATAGGGGCTGATGGTTGTAGTTTTAGATGCTCCAAGAAAGGCAATCAAATGAAAGGTGTCTTTCCATGAGGTTGCATGAGTCAATAAAAGGATATCATGTCGTACAGAAGGTGTGAGTCTCCCCCCCCCCCACTGATTATTTTGTGAAATAATTAATTTGTCCATAAGCATGTTGTCCCACACTTATGAAATCCAGGCTTCCAAAAGATTTGCATTTAAAGTTTTCCTATTATTCGCAGTCACTAATCTAGCTGCAGTTAATAAGTGGAGGATGAGGTGTTTGCTGGTTATGTTCTTAAACTGAGGAGTAAAATAAGATAGTAGGGCTAATTTGGGGTCTGGTTGTAGCGATTGTTCCATCATTTGAGAATACGTTTTGGGCAAAACCACCATATATGTAGCAGAGAGCCAGGCAAATTGCATTCCCTCCAGCAAAGGTTGGATGTGTAACAATTAATTCTATATAATTTGGCTGGGCAACGTGATATGTTTAAAGCATTTTCTTGAGTTCTAATTGAGAAGCATCCAAATGGGAGTTTATTCCCCATTTGTTTCCAGAGTTGTTCCTCTAATTCTTCTCCAAAATCTTTACCCATTTTATTCGTAATGAAGTGAGAGGAAGTGTAGCCAGCTGTGTGAGACTGTTATACAGCTGGGAGGTGATTGCCCTTCCCAGTGGGTTGGTTGAGTTGAGCAGTTGCTCAAAACCATTGAAAGTGCTTGAACCCTTATATTTGGTTAATTTAGAAAACGTATAATTTGGTGTATCTCTAACCAGTCACATGGTACATCTCCCAATATAAAATTTATTTCTAGAGCTGTAAGGAGCTTTTGGTTCTGTGGAATCCTTTGATGGCAATCATGTCAAAATCAGAGGGTCCATGCAGCAACAGGTAACCTGTGGCCCTCCTGATGTCATTGGGCTCCACCCACCCCAACCAACAGGGCCAAGGGTATGGAGATGTGGTCTGGAAGGCCACAAATTCCCCATCCTTCCCTAATGGAACGCAAAAGAAATATGTCCTAGTGGGAATTCCCAGTGGCAACTGGGACTGCAGGTTCTGATACAGAAGCCTTGTGTATGGAAAAGCAAATTGCTGACAGTGGACACAGGAAACAATATGACCCAAAAGCCAAACAGGAAGATGATTTTAAAAAAGAAAGAATTGAGGGACTTCCGGGTTGGCGCCATCGCCGAATGGCGGACTCCCTCTGAGCTCCGGAGGGAGTCTGCTCGGCAGGGCTCGGGTTCTACCGCGCCGGCGACGCGGGGACCCTTAAAAACCACGGGCACGGAGACCGTGGACATGGGTGACTCGGCTGGCACCGTTAGCGCCCTCCCGACTCGTGAAGGAGCCTTTTTAAAGGCTACGGATCGGGTGCCGGGGAGTGGCGTGGTGCTTTGAGTCCTCTGCTTCCCCTGCCGAGCGAAGCCGCATGCCATCCGGTGGAGAGCGCCGACTTCTTCCATTGAAAATTCGGACTTTTAACAACAACCCGTGAGTAATCTGGCAACCGGGTTTTAAAGGAGAAAAAAAGGAAATTTTTTTCGGATTCGGCACGAGCGGGGGGATCTAAAAAGGAAGTCAGTCCCCCCTCCCTATTGTAAGCATTTCAAAACAAGGACTGAGTAACCAAGGTCCAAAGAGAAGCGTATTTTGGATAAAAACCAAGAATTTCACGATGGGATATTACAAGAATTGTGCTGGAGGAGAAGAGTGGGGTGAGAAGGGAAACGTAACCCCCCCGGGAACCGGGGCGACCCGCGAGAGAGCCTGGGGAAAAGAGAAGCAGACTTTGACAGCTGTCAAAGTGGCTGTCAAAGTCGGAAAGTGTAAAGAGGACTTTGCTATGAGGACTTTGCTAGTTAATTTCGTTACAATTGGTTACGATTTGGATACAATGTTGAAAATATGGAATAACAATTGGACTTTTGGACAAGAGGAAACAAAGTTACTGCAACCCCCCTAGAGGAGTTTCGGGACATTACAAGAACTACAAGCGGAAAAATACTCTGGGAACTGTATAGGACTTGCTATCTCCTGAGAAAGCTGCAAAACTGAAAAAGTATTTTGTCTACAGGGGTGTTTACATTAAGGGAGACAATAGAATTCTTTATTGAAGAAAGGAAGGGACTGGACGTAAGTTTTTGTTCCTGAATAACAAACCCCTGTAGAGGCATCAAACTTTGAATTAGAACGATTTAGCAGCAGAAAAGGACAAGAAACTTGACAACAACATGGAACAGAACAATGGGGGGAACCCCTTTGGGGTCTTTTTTGGATTGGACGTTTGAAATCAGACATTACAAAAATAATATTTAAATTAAAAAGGGAAAAAAGGAAAAGAAACTGGCAAGGTGGAACTGATTGGTGTATGGATTAAAGATTTCCAGGCAGACAACAGACAGACAGATTGATGGACATGGGGAATGCGAACCGGGGATTGGGGGGGGGGGAGAAACAGAATCCAAAGGCTGTGTAACTATTTTTTCTTTGAATCTTTTTTATATAATGCTGGGGTGTTATTAGTAAATGAAAAAGGGAATTTGTGGAATGAAACCAAGGGGGCCTTGGGGAGAGAATTTTTGATTTATATTTTTTCTTTGTTAAGGGAAAGATGATGATTGTATAATTTAAATTGGAATTTGGGGCTAAATAATTTAAGGTTTAAATTGGGAGTGAGAGCTTGTAGAACCAACATTATGAAAGGGGAATACAGTAGGAAGGGGGAGGGGGAAGTCCTGGAAAGTGGGTAATGAAAATTAGATTCTAAAAGTATTTCAATTTTGTTTTATTTTTATTTTTTCTGTATTCTGAAAATTTTAATAAATATGATTATAAAAAAAAGAAAGAATTGAGACACAACTCTTATTAGAATGCTTAGGAACCTACTTAAGAAATTTTAAGGCAATGTTCTGAATGACCAATCTTACCTTTTCCCCTTTTGCTCCTGGAGGCCCCTGTAGAGATCAACAAGAGGATAGTAAGGAAGTAGCTGATTAATCTACAGTGCAGCTCCCCCCTCCAACTTTTACTAAAACAAATTATTTCAAGGAGAAAGAGGGGCCATTTACCTCTAATGTAGGGATGAGGAACATCCCTGATTTAACCTTTCCCCTGTCTTTATTTGTGGATATTTATGCTAGACCCTTTTGCCTGACTTCTATATATTTATGTATGTGAAATATTTTCCCCCTCTATAGAGATGCATTTAATCATGTGAACAATCTGAAGTGGTGAAGCCGAGACCTTGGTTGACTAACTCAGTGACTGACAGCTAGACCATATTTGGGGCCCACAGAGCAGCTGTGACTCTCAGGTGACGGTTTTTATTCTTGCTTTATTAGAACACAAATATTTTATTCTTCAGTAAAGCTTTCTCAGAATACTCACTTTCTCAGAATACTTTCATGAGCTCTGGGCCCATTAGTACAACCCAACTAGGTTCACACAGTTAAATCAATGGATTTTAGATACCGTGGAGCAGTGCCAAGCAGCTTCTCCTCCTTATGCTTTTGCATATAGCTGAATACTGACACTTCTAATTCATCCACAGTGTGTGTGTGTTACTCGGAGCATAACTTACTGGTTTGCCATCCAGTCCAAGAGGCCCCTAAAACAAAAGAAGACAATGATGTGTTATAAAGCAATATTATTTTTGTAGCACAGTAAATCCTGCCTTTCCACCTCAGAGGGTTTTCCCACGTGATCAGTGAAAAGCATGTCCCGAGGGCATCACAGTCTTTGCACAATAATTCTGAAAAAGCTCATTTACAGGCTAATAATACAAGAGTGCAAGACTGGCGTACAGGGTCTTCAGTGTGGTGCTACCCATCCTTTGGAATTCTCTTCCATTGCATATCAGATAGGCACTTTCTCTGTTGGCTTTTTGGTGCCTGCTAAAGACATTCCTCTTCCAGCAAGCCTTCTAAAATTTTGATCCCAAGTTGGTTTCTGTCCTGCATCTGAACTGATTTCGTGTATCTGCTGTTTATACTTTAAACTGGTTTTTAATTTTAAAGGTTATTTTTTATTAAAAATGTTATTATATGCAATTGTTTTCAACTGTTTTTATATATGTAACTGTTTTATATATGTTTTATATCATAAAGTGCTTCAAGATACCTCATGAGAAACAATTCATAAATTAAATCATCATCATCATCAATGCTTTTGATGTGTCAGTACTCACCAGTAGAGAATACCAGCACCTCTTTTTTAGTTTTGTTTTTTGTGTCCATAGCAGCCATGATGTCCTGGCACCCATGACACTTCAATCAAGATAAAAGAGTGCCAGCAACTCATTGATTTATTTGGTTTTTTACCAAAAAGTACTGATAATATTGGTGCAGAACTAGCAAGACATCCACCCATGGCTCCTTTGGGAAGAAGGGGAGGATAGAAATTTAATAAATACAAGAGACATGGAAAGGAGTAGCCTCATTGTGTGGGAGTGTATGGCTATGTTCCCCCCTTACAAGTATTTATTAACACATCAGCACAGGAGAAGGTCAGAGCAAATTATGACAAACAAAGCCAAATGAGAAAATCAACAGCAATGGTGTTTGTGTGGGTTTTTTTTTAATGGATGCACCTCACCATTACCATTTTAAACGAGTACTCCTGCACAGGGTAGGGGGAATTCAAAGGAAGACAATGGGATAAAAATTAATGGAATGATGTAAGTGCAGAATGAGGAAGGCTGTGCCACTAATCAAGTCACATGCAATACTTATTAGGTGCCTGACGTACCTTCCAAACAATAAACATAATACATACGAACATACTATTTCCTTTGGGCAAATAATATTGCAAATTTGAATACTGTACTGTGAAATTGTGATATCCTCAGGACAGTAGTACAAACTTCAGAGACAATTTGTTGACTTTGTACACTATTAATTGAACAAAACTGATCATGTGGGAAAACCCTAGACATTTCGAAAGGTGTTTAATTATTGAGCAGCATTTTGGTTGGTTGTTTTCGAGGGACCACATCCTTTTCTAATTCTTTGTAAAATGGAAACCAGTTGGCCTTGTCATGCAAGAGTTGGTACCCACCCTTTAATGTGCTACTTTAGTTGGAGGTTGTCCCTCACTGCATCTGCTTGCTAATTTTAAAAATGATTAATTACTAGCAGTGGTAAAAGCAGGGTTGCCATATTTCCCAGAAATCCAAGTATTATCTGGATTAAAGAAACTGCAGATGGTGCCTGGGTAATGCATCACCTGGTTTAGATTCTAAGCTTTTATGTGAAAAAGAACATTTCAAGTTGCAGAGAAAAACAGGAAAGTGTGCCAATCACCTGGTACTTAGTAAAAAAGTTGTTTCTCCTCCCAAAGTTGTTTCTTTGTTCTAGGCAATGATGCTTAACCACTTAGCCACTCCTAACCATCACATGCGAATGGAAAAGAGTGGCTAAGTGGACCAAATGGTTACCTAAACACTTGAAGGATGGAGCTTAACATTTGCTGAACTCCTCTCCACTCCTCTTCTTTCTAACAGTGAAGGTAGTGCTTGTTGGTGAAAAGGTTCTGCCTCTTTTTATTTGCCACTCTGGGTGATGATGGGGACTGCTACTGCTGCATTTCTCTTTTCTGCTTGTGTATGCATGGACTCTTAAATTAAAAGCAATTATATAAAAGAAGAAGCTGTGTGATATCAATGAGCAGATCAAAAAACCATGATCAAAGTATCATAGAATTTGTAGAGTTCAAATGGTGATCTAGTCTAACCCCTTGCAATGCAGGAATCATAGCAAAAGAATCTCTGACAGGTGGCCATATAAAAAGGGTTTTAAAAACTGCATTGAAGTTCACCACCTTCTTAGGTTGTCCATTTCCCTATTGGACAGCTCTTTCCATCCGAAAGTTCTTCCTAACGTTTAGTTGGAATCTGCTTTCTTGCCATTTGAATCTACTGGTTTGGGTCCTGCTCTTTAGAGCAAACAGAAAACAAGGTCACCCAGTAAGTAGTGACAGAGTGGGTAAAAGAGCTGAGCTAATATGTCAGTTCTTTCTTCCCTGGCATTGTAGTCGCCAAACACCCACAAGCCCTTCCATGGGTTCTTTTGTCACTGCTCGGTTTCTTGGCAACTAGTAGAGAGATATTTTTTAAATAGAAATCGCACAAATGAGATAAGATTGTCCAACTATGTCCAATTTGCATAATAATTTGCTGTTCAGTTTTCTGGGGCTGTGATATGGCAACCCTACGTAAGTTTTTTTTTTTAAAAAAAGCTATTTCTTTATACAAATATAATGACAGTAAGAACCAGCAATCATCACATATGATATATTAAGAGCGTCAAAGGAAATGGAAAAAATATTAATTTGTAGGAAGGTGAAAGAAGTGGGGAGGGATGATAGCAAAAGAAGTGGCCCTGAAATTCCTAAACATTTTCTAAAAGAAGCAACACCAAGAGCAGACTTCCTCAAACTTGGCCCTCCAGATGTTTTTGGCCTACAACTCCCATGATCCCTAGGTAGCAGGACCAGTGGTCAGGGATGATGGGAATTGTAGTCTCAAAACATCTGGAGGGCCGAGTTTGAAGAAGCCTGACTGAGAGCATTAGAAGTGCATGCTTGATCAAATCTCCCTGACTGCACAGAAGATTAGATTGCCTTTAAGGATAAACCCTCTCACTGCTGCCTATAGAATAAAATAAAATATAAAAGCAACAGCAATGAATAATAAACAGCAGTAATCATAATAAAAGAAACATCCGGTGGAAAAATATTAAAATCCAATACAGTGGTGCCTCGCAAGACGAAATTAATTCGTTCTGCGAGATTTCGTCTTGCGATTTTCTTGCGAAACACGGTTTCGGAAAAGTTTTGGAAAAGCTTCAAAAATACCAAAGTCTTCAAAAACCTCAAAAAAGGTTACCACACCGCGTGCTATGAGTTGCTCCTCGAAGTCAAGTCACAACTGTATTAACGGTTTTAAGAAAAAGGAAACAAACTTGCAAGACGTTTTCGTCTTGCGAAGCAAGCCCATAGGGAAATTCGTCTTGCGAAGCAACTCAAAAAACCAAAAACCCTTTCGTCTTGTGAGTTTTTCGTCTTGCGAGGCATTCGTCTTGCGAGGTACCACTGTACACAAAAGCTACTAAAAGCAATCAGCACTCCAATACAACAACAACTAGAATAGCCAAGCAAACCAAATGGGTCCTTAGGTTTTTTTGATAAAGTCCTGTAATGACTGGGCCTGGCAGACCCCACATGGTAATGAGGTATGGCAACCAGAAGGTACTTTGGCGATTGTAAGGGTCGCACCAAAGTGCCTCTGCTCTGGTACGCCCTTTTTAAAATCGTCAGGCACCTTCCAAGAAGGTACTTGGGTGATTGTAAGGGATGCACCAAAGCACCTCTGGAAGGTTGTGACTGCAGCTGAAGGAAGCAGCAGCAATCGAGGAGGAAGCAGCAAAGGTGTGGGGCAGGGGAGCGAGCGAGTGAGTGGTGGCAGCAAGATGGTGGTGGTGGAAAAAAAGGTGGCAGTATGCTGTACCGACGCGTACTGACCCAAAAAACACAATGCTGATTTGAAACTTGAGTCCCTGAATATGATGGTAAGTAAACACGCATACAATTGGGCGGAACACCAACTCATTTAATTACCAATTTCAAAAGGGATTTTAGAAATACTGTGTGATTTATGCAGCGTGTACAGTATGCACATTCATCTCCTGCAGTTTAGCATCCAAGTAATAAAAGCATAAACCAAGCCTATATATAGCCACCCTTGTATAGGGCCTTCATAAAACATCAAAATAAAGTTTCAGTCATCTGTCAGTGCCAGGCCACGTCTGTATCCTAAGTGGCTGCATATGGGAGGCAGACAGCTGAAAAGTAAAGCCACTCCACCACTGAGTGTCCACGCTGAGTGTCCTCAAACAATTTGGCAATTGCTCTGATAATTTTTCATACTGCCATTTTGTATGGTGAAGTTAAATTGGGAGAAATCATTTGGCAGAGTAATGTGGTGAGGGACACACTGACATCATTCTTGCTTAAATGCAGACCTTTATTGCTATAATCAGTCCCACAACATCCATCTGCAGTGCAGATGGAAGCAGATCTTTTCCTGAGTTTTACTATGGACAGCAAGGACCAGATATACCCCAGAGTGGATCCAGTGAGGATCCCACTTCAGAATCTGATTATTTTAGGGTGAATTCAGGGTTCATTGGAGCCGTGCAGCAGCCACTTAAGTCTACCTTGTGTTGCTGTCTATACACAGAGGGGTGATGAAGTTGTTTGTAGCCTTTGATCATACTGTTAAGCCCAACATTACCCTCCCTCTGAAGCTTTCTCTATATCTGGAGCCTTGGGTGATTGCCAATGTTGGGCTTCACTGCATAATCAAACCACTGCTGCCCTATGTGATACAACCACTAACTATGTAATAAGCTTTAAGCAAAGACCTGTAGTTATCTGAATCTAGCAGTTCCAGATCAGGAGCAAACCTGGCCCTCCTTTCATCTGATCAGCACATAAAGTTGTCCCAGCAAGTTCTATACCCAGATCACTCACATCACACTAAAATATGGGCAGAAGACAAATGCCCTCAGCCACCACACCGCTGCAACATTTTGCCAATAGAGGAGGCAA